CAGCATTTGTTCAAGGGGCCTCTTGCCAGCTGTGCTGGTGGAAGTGCTTTTCAATAAGATTCCAATTAAACGCTTTATTAATATTTATTATTCACTGGTTGCAGTTGTTGGTAACATGCATTTGCCCGAGAGAGCTCGAATGAAATGCAGCAAGGTGTTACTTGCTGGGGATGGGGAGAAAATGATTCTTTAGTTGTTTGTGTTCGCTGCATGGTGTGTAAGCACTGATAGAGATCCAGCATGCGAATGGCGAGGGTCCCTTTTCAGTAAATTCCCTCCCAGGTCCCAGTGTAATGTAGCTGGCAGGCTCTGCTGGAAAGGCAGCCACTGCATGTTTGTTCAGCAGCGAGAGGGGTGGGCAGCACGGCTGGCACGGCTTTAGTTCTGTCAATGTTTTACATAAAGCAAATATTTACAAAGGTGATTCTCAGAAACTGGAAACTGAGGGCACGTTGGGCAGTGCGTGTTCTCCTGGGCCTGTGCTGTGCCATGAGGAACAGTAGCCTGCTCTGAGACTGATGAAAAAACTGAGTTTGGCTTGGCTTTTCAGCCGTGGTAGTTCCCAAATGTAGTGAATCAAGTGTGAAACCTGAGCAGTGAAATTCACCTGGAAGCCCAGTGAATTGGACGCGAACTTGAGTGAATGACTGTCAACTTGTGTGGGATTCTTGATGTGCAGATGCAATAGTGTGGCCACAAGCCCAGGGGACAGATGGGTTTAAAGCATTTCCCAAATCAAAGTATTAAATGAACACAGCCTCCTTTCCCCTGTCCCAGTTGATTATCCCAAGGATGGCTTTCAAATACCTGAGCTGAGTAATTTCAATCAGCCAAACTCCACTGGAGTTAACACAATAGTAGGTTTTTATCAGTGTGGATTCTTCCTTTTCATTAATATTTCTGTATAAAATCATTGTGGCCTTGGAGCAAACTCCCCTCTCTTTGCTATCAGGAGTGAGTGTGAGACAAAGGCAAGACAGAGTTAAAGGCTTCCTAACATGAAGTTTGACAATCCAAGTCCTTGAATTAAATATGTGAAATGCTGGATTTAGACACCTCCCTCTGGCCACTCCATCAGTCTTCAAGCATATAGCGTATATCTGTCTATCTATCCGTATATCTACCTACCAAAAACCAAACTTCTGACTTGCAAACCAGACCTTTTGATTTATACCAGTTACGCCACTTCCACACATCAGGGTTTTTTCAGCAGTCAATGCATTTGTTGTGCATTTGTATTAGTATCTTTTAATATATTGTGGTTCTGTTTCTGTTATTATGCTGATGCCAGCTGAGAGTAATTCCAGGGGAGTTAAGCTAGGATGAAGCTGTTGTAAAGACAAAAAGAATTATTGTATTTCTCTTTAGGATTGATTACTTTTCCTGTGCATCTGAACATTTATAAAGGATTGTCAATTCTGAACCACTATTTTCTTCTCGAGGATTTAAGAAAAGAACTTAATGAGATGAATTGCTATCTGTAAGGTGCTCAAAGCTTGTATTTTAAAGCAGAATAGGCTACCATTTAGTGAAAAACAAGTCAGCATTTCTTGGGGATAGGTTTACCCCCTTGTTTGTATTAAACTTTGCTAAGCTTCACATTTTGTTTGTGAGTTCTTTTATAAATAAGATTCTTAGCTGGGAGCATTGTTTCCACTGCTGTGTATTGATAACTAAAACATCATGACACTGCACATTAAACCAGCTCTGCAGCTGGTGCATATTGATATCTCTTTACTTAGTCCTGTTGGTCTTCATTGATAGGGCAGTAATATCGATGCATTCAAAATATTGGTATTCATTTACAGGAACGAGTTTGACTAATAACTTTTTTTGCATGGATTTAAATAATTTTTAGAATGTCTGAGCACAGTTATAATGATACACTCTGTAAAATTGAACAGATTCATTTCATGTTTAGACTAAAATAAAGAAGTAGTGTTTGACTTAGCAAAGCTTGAGGAAGTGATTCCATTTCAGACATTTAGGGCTCAATTCTGGTTGTGACAGTTGAGGAGCTGCTACAGAGAGTGTTACAAGTTTTGTTTATTAAACTGACTGAAGTTGGCACGACAGGGAAGTGAGTTGGTGTTGGGTTATCTGGATTTGCTTAAAACACTTTTAAATTTTTGTTCCAGGAATATATTCTGGAACTTGCTTGGGTCTGGGAAGATGAGACAATGTGCAAGGCCACTTGCCTGGCACAGAGGGCACGTCCTGCCACAGTCGAGGGTTGGGAGAACCCAACTCAACCCAGCCAGTAACAAGGCAAACTTTCGACCACAGGAAGCCTTACCTTTCAGGCCAGCTTCTACCAGATGCTTTATAAAGTAGATTTGCAACTCTTGTCATGCATCAGGGCATGGCATGTGAGTCTGCATTTGGCCCCTTGTCTCGACACAACATCTTGAGAGTGGCTGGAATAGAAATGAGAACATCATTTGCCAAGATGGCACATGTTTTCATTAATATGCAGTCTTGCACCTTGTAATAGGATAGATAGCAGTCTCAGGATTGAGCCTCGTATACAGTGGGTAGGCACAGTGAAAATTAATTTTTTTTCATTATCTTGAATGGTAAACCCATCTGCCAGATAGAGTGGTGCCGAACATTTCTTGCTCAGTTTTTCTGTGAGGAAACTAATTAAAAGATTATAGCTTCTGTGTTTAATAGTTGTTCAAAATATATTGGTGGCACTGCTTGCCATTCAAATTTCATCATGTTGCAAGCCGCAAAGGGAAAGCATGCTTACACTTTGCTCTCTTTGGGATTCAGTTCATCTCATTTGCTTTCTAATCTCACCTGCCAGGATATCAAATGAGGGCTTCTGTTTGTTAGTGAATGCCCAATGTTAAATGAAAGTTAAATTAAACCAAATATCCAGCAGTGATCAGGTTTACTTTGTGCAAGGCCCTTCTGGCAGTGTCCCAGAGAACTCGTGTTTGATGTCGAAAGAATTGACTTCTTCAGTTGTGTACAAGAGAAACAGTTTTGGCATACTTCTGTGGTTGAATTGACAAGTCATTGTTTCTGTGTGGTATTTGTAAATAAGGTCCTCTTAACAAGGGTACTGAGAAACACTTACTGCTAGCTGCATCCCAACGCTGTCCAGCTGGAGTGGGAGTTTCCACCCACAGCAAATTTAGGTTGATCTCTTTAAAACCAGCACACTGGTATCTAGGATCTCCTCTATTCCTCTTGCCACTAAGTGAGACTTTGATTTAATTTGTACTGTATTGCAGTTCTGTCAAAAATTTGCTCTGTCCTAAAAGCATGAGAATTAAACTTTGTCATCTTCAAAGAAGAATTTTGCTTTAAATACTAATAGCTCAGTTGTGGTTCACAATCACAAGTGAAGGAGTGGGCTGCATCTCTCAGATCTACTGTCCTGACTTTCAAGCTACGGTTTCCCTATGTAGCTTTAAGGTCTTTTTCCCCTTGTAGGAGATGTTGCTAGTACAGAGGAAGGAGCTGCAGCTGGCAGAAACCCGAATGTGTGGAGCACATGTGATCAGTGGTCTTCACCAATTTCAGATAGTCTAAGTAAACTGTTCAAGAAACTAGGTCCAAGACCTACAAAACCCAGGTGGACTGTATTAGGAATGGTGATCTAGCACTGAACATGCTTCCACAAGAATCCTTTTCCATTAAGAGGATTTAATTGCAGTCCCAATGAACATTAGCCGCAGAAGATAATAAATTGTGCCCGTGAAGCATCAACATAAACTGGTTTGCTTTCTGTGTCTTTCTGTGTCTTCTTGATAACTTCTCATCAGTGAAGGCCAACTGATGGCCTCATAAGGTGAGTGTGATGCATGTTAAGTGCTATTTATTTGCAAGAACTGTGAAATAGAGAAGTTAATATTGCATGTTAAATCTCCGAGTACGGGTATTTAATTACACATTGCAGCCTAGATAGCAAAAAAGCCATCTGTCATGAACTGCACTTTTTAGCAAACAGTTGTAAAATGTAAGAGGTCCAGTACTTGAAAATTGTCCATCTCTTGTCGACTTGCATGTCAAGTAAGAGTTAGGAGATCTCCACTGTTCTTTCAGTGCTGTGTTCTTCACTGCAGTGATTAAACCTCCTTCCATTCAGATGGGTGTTCCTTCATTTTGTAAGTTTTCACCTTTTTTCCTCTGCTTATGTAGGAAGGTAACTTAATTAGTTGGGAACAAAGACTTTGGAAATCTGCTTTTGAAATGAAATACTAATAAAGGATCTTCCTTCTCTAATTGTGTAAGAAAAGTTTTCAGATTTTCAGAATTAATTCAGCTTTATCTGGCCCTTTCAGGAAGAAATTATTATTGTCCAGCAGTTTCACTAGCTGCACTTTTATAACATGTGTGGGGTGGTTAAGGGGACCTAGCGTAACTAAAATCAGAATCATACCTGTGACTTCGTGTATTAGGTGTGATATTTTTCTTGCTGGAATTAAATTCTAACCCAATTTCTGTGTTTTCTAGTGCTTGATAATAAAAAAAATCATGAAATGCCCCTTGGTGCCCCTTTGGGCATGGCCTCTAGCTTCAATTACTTCTTTTGAAGATCACTATAGAAATGCTCTTTGCAAGGTTTGTCTCGTCCTTCTGGGAGCAGTTAATCTCCCTTGAAAACAATAGGGCTGTCTTAGGGTAAACTGGACAGCAACTAGTTGCAAACCTGTTGCAGAATTTGTTTAGAAAGAGTAGTTTTGTGTCTTGATCCGTTTGCCACAGCACGTATACCTTTCTGAATGAAATCAGTTTTATTGATAATAAGGGCATTATTTAAGCAAAATTGACATTATTTAAGAGCCCATGACAACTGATCTCAGTAAAACTAGCAGTTAAATTGGATTCGGAATAGAGGTTGCACATAATGAGCCATTGATACTGAATTCTTTACTTTTATTTTTTGATCCAGCTCTGTGTTCACTTGAGATGATTCATTCTTCCACTGAGTTCCTTCCAGGAAGGATTCCCCACAGTCTGCAGAATTCTCCTCTTTCTCTGGACTATTAAAGTTCTTCTTTCTCTGTTACTACAGTCTCTTTTTGGCTGAGATCCTCTTTGATTTCTCCTGAAGGATCCTTTTAAAAAAGGAAATGCAAGAGCAAAGCTGGTTATTAGTGATGTTCACAAAGAAAATTGCCCTAGTAATTCTTTACTTCCAAAATTTTTTTTAAGATGATATGAAATGTAGATTTTCATCTTTTCAACCAAGGAACTTGAGGGCTTGTTAATGGGGTCAGATGGTAAAGCTGTTGCTAAAATGTGGGTTTTTTCAAACCTTTACACTGGTTTATGGCAAAGCTTAGATAAGGCTTTGTGTGAAGGTTTAATAAGAACTTCGAAGACCGTGTTTGGTAAGCTGACCGTCTTTCCTAGGCAATCTCAAAAGAAACTACCTTCTTGTTCAACTTGTTTGTGTGTTTTTGAATGCTCTGAGGTGAGAATGAAGAGTTACTCCAACTTCACATGAAGCACTGTACTGCAAATAGTCTATAACTGCAGTCTTCTGGGAAAATTTGGGGGGTATAAGGTAAGGACGGAGAATGTGAACAGATGAGCAAATGCCAGTTTCTTACCCCTTCTGCTACACAGAGCATGTTTTTGAATGGTGTTTCCTAAACTGCCTTTTTTACTATAACGTGAAATAAAGCATGAAGAAGAGATGTCAGAATATACACAACTCTAACGTATGTAGAAGACTGTGTGTAGGACTCAACAGATCTGCTTCAAACACATCATTAAAGAACATGCAGCAGAGGCAGACACCAAATGTAGGCATTGGGCATTGGAAAACAGAAATGTGCAATGACTGGGCAGAGCTGGATGTCTGATCCTGCTTTGCAGACTTCATGTCCCAATATTTAGTCTTCTCTCTCCATCTGTAACCACCTGTTTGAGCCGTGAATTCAGGAGCAAATCAAAGCCTCTAGTGGAAATAAGTCTGAAAACTCAAAACTGTTTCTCCACCCACGGACAGTTGCCCTACTAGTTGAAACGAGCGTTAAAGAAAACTATTGCTACTCTGTGGATCTGTTTCACTTCCAGGCAGAAATGGGCCCATGCTTCTTATACTGGGTGGACAGTGTCTCCCTTTCTACGTCAGATTTTTTCTGTTGCTTGGAGCTGTCTGCATGGAGCGTGATCACGTTGCTCACTTACAGTATGTCTTTTTGCAGCAAAGTGTCTGGGATTAAAGAACAGGCTGATCTGGGACAGCTAATGCTTACCTGGTCTGATTTACAGTGGAGGAAAACGAGTTGAGGAGTCAGACAATCATAACCAGATTGCCAAGAGAGGGGACAACGTCTGCTCTCGGTTGTGCCCTTTCTTTATGAAGAAGAGAAGCCATGCTGAATGTAACAGGATGAGGTAAGCAATGGATATTTGAACCATTCCAGCTACAGCTGAAACTAACTTAGCTAGGGCTTCTTTTTTCCAGCTAAAATCCTGACAGAGTTTTGCCTACACCTGTCAAGGTGCAGGTTCTTTTCTGCCATGCAGTGCTTACCACCAGAGTGTTAGCGTGGTGACTCAGTGGTAACATGAGCAGTGGGAGAAGAGTTTTTTGTGTGATGAAAACAAGGATGTGAGTGGGCACGTGCCTGCCAGGCAGTGGTATATGACTGTAGCTAGTTTGCTCAAGCCAAGCTAGTCAGCTTGAAACCGGCTAAGAGCTGGGGAGAGCTGTCCAAGCCTTGCCATGAGCAGTGGCTGAAGCCCGTAGATCTGGCTGTGCTATAGGCAGTTCAGGTGTGCCTGTACAAGGTGTGAACATGCCTTGGATTATACAGCAGATCAGTCAGTGGCTGGATCAAATGCCTGCCTTTTCTTGTAGTTTTGCTTTTGTCTTGCTTTATTATTCTAAGCATTCAGAAAATGTCTCCAAGGTATGCTCCCTGGCATAGGCCACCTCCTGAAAAGAGTTTTGAGGTTAAGTATTTAACTCTGTACACAAAGTGCTGGAATTAACAGCATAATCAGCTGGAGGATTTCGGTTCTTTATACTGGCCAAACTTGACTTTTGTGCTCAGTTTAGAAAGCAAGGGTAGAGGCACAGCAGCTTCCAACATCATCTGAAATGGAATGGTAAAGAAGAAATAGATGTATATCCCTAAGAAGAAAAGGATCTATATAAAAACCATAACCATTAAAGTGTAATAGCAGTCTGGGATCCTGCCAGCTACTGACATCAGCGTCTTTTCTGTGTTTAACAATAAACATTTGCAAGATATTTTGAAGAGCAGAGTCTTTTAAGTGTCCAGCCATGATATTCAAAGCTGTTTAAAGATTTTGATGGTAATTTAAATTCTGAAAAAGTTTTGAAATACACAGTCCAGAAGTACCAGCTGTTGCAAAGCCTAAAAGAATTGGAGGAAGATAAGCAGTGACATTAATTTTCTTGTACTTCACCTTAAGTTGGGGCTTTACTGAGGAAGTTTAATGGAAGAAGCAGTTTCAGTTTAGAACTTTAAAATTCTCTGAGCAGCTCTAGGCACCATATTGTATTTTAAAGGCTCATGTGCGTGACATTGGGATTTGTCTGCTGTTACCTGAGTATATTTAGAAATAGGCAGATGCCTGTGCTCACTTGGGTTAAGCTGGCTTACTCCCGCTGAGGCTGGTAATGCTGTGTTACTTTACACTAGTTACTCTTATGCCTGATTTGAGTTCAAAGGACTGTAAACAAAACACTGTTCTCTAGTGAATTTACTAAAGGTATCCACAGTTTTGATATTTCCATTCAGTAAGGTATTCTCTTGTAATAAAAAAGGGTGGCAGCCTTGAAGCTGGTTTTTTTTTATGTTGGCAAGGTTAAGTTTCTTGAGAAAGATTATTTGATTCCTCCATAGGTGATTAATATTCTCAGATGAGTCTTGATTTTTATTGACTCTGATGGCTGGAACAGCAATTTCTCAGAGTCCGAAGACCTGTAAAGCCAGAGAAGCTGCTGATCCCAGCACTGGTTACTGAGGGTATGTGTCAGCACTTCTCGTTAGAGTAATCAGTGCATAAGGGTATGTAAATGTTATTTTCCTCACTTAATCCATAGAAATAAATAGAATCATCTTAAATCCATCTGAAACACTGCATGTTTGTCTCTTAAATTTGGAGTGGATGACGCAGTGGCTGAGTTGTTCATCAGCTTCACAGATGGAGCTCAGATGATGCCTGGTCACTCCCTCCTCCATGTAATTCATCAGATTCACTCTCTTGTTCCTTCAGCTCTGGCTATAACTGTTCCTCAGCACAGAAACGCTCGGTGCTTTGGAAAACTGGGCACATGCTTAAATGCCCAGCTGTAAATCTATGTCTCTTAGCTCACCAACCTCTGATTAACTCTAGTTAACCTGAAGTGGCTCCCGATTTAAAAATGTTGTCATGCATCTAGTTTTGCATCCGCTGGAAGTAAGAGGGTGACTTGTCATTAACTTCAGGAAAAGCTAAACCTGTTCTTAAACAGACTGAAGAGTGACAGTCCACTGGAAAAAAAGACAGTTCATTGCCTGGAGACTAGCAGATAGTTCAGTTTGGAGGGGGGTAGTGGCTAATATGATCCCATCAGGTGAGACTGCTTGGAAGGGACTGCATAGTAATGTGTTGTGCCCGTGGCTTTGCCTTGAAGGAGGTGTAAGGGTGTCTTTGGTGGCCAGAGAACATGATAACCTAGTTATAGAAAACAGCTTTGGGTTTTGTTATGTTAGCCACATTTCTCTTGGTTTCTCAGGACAGGTTCAGACTTCTTCACATGCATTTTGATGTGCTTTCTAGAGTCTCCTTTGCATGCATTTTGATGTGTTTTCTAGTGTCTTCTGATAGTTATTCCATCTTTAAAATTCCTAGTGCTTCTGTGCTAGTGTTCATTTCATCCTTAGTCCTTAAACAACGCAAAGGATTGGCAGAGTAATTGGAAAGCTCATGTGTTTGTTTCTAACGCTAGCAAAATGCTGAAGGCTAGAAAAGATGTCTGTGTGAAATCAAGGTTGCATCAGGTGGTGTTGTTTGACTGTATATATTTCCTGTTCCTCTTTTTCTTCATTCTGAACATACCAGTTTCTCTTCAGCTCCAAGCCCTTTCTGTCGCTCTTTTCATGGCCAGAGTAAGGGAGTAGGGATCACAATTTTGGGGCCGTGCTTATACAGCAAAAAACACAGGTACTCTGATCCTTGGCACACTGTAATACTACGTTTGCGTCCTGTGCCCTGAGTTTGGTTAACTTCCAGAAAATGACAAGTACACATGGGAGAATTCCCGGTATGACTGCTGGTCGGGTAGGAAATGATTGAGGGCTGTTGCAGTGACTCTGCATTAACAGCTTGAGTGTGTCTTGGGTCATTTATGATTGCCTGTAGTGAGTAAAGATGTCTGTGGCCAGCCGTTCATATAGTGTCATAAGAAAGAAGGCCAGAACGCTTGGGTCTGCCAGACTGCAGATGTCTACAGGACACCTGCACTGGTAGTCAAGTACAAGTTAAAATCGTTGAAGTTGAGGGAACTAGTGTAAAAACATGATGCACAAGGAACAACTTGACATTTCAAATACCCTTTAATTTAAGGGTATTTGTAAGTATGAAACAATAATAATAATTAACAGTTAATGAAAGTTGTAACTGATTTTTATTTTTTTTACAAACTGACATTTATTATGAGCATTTAATGGGTTTCTGCTTTTCTGCACAAAGACTAAACACAGTGTGGATATGCAGGACTGCAGTTCAGTTCATTAGAAGCAGTGCATGCACATCCAAGAGGAAAATCTCTCCTGCAAAGATTAAATGAGGACACGGGCAAATGTCTTAGAATTTAATTTAAGTTTAGGACTAAGAAGAAAAATGAAAAGCTTAGTAATGTCTTAATTATAACAGCATCTTAGAATTTAATTTTTTTTTTTGCTTCAGAGATATTTTCTTTTTAATTAGATTATCTCTGTAGATGGAGGAATGTAACTATTTAATATTTTTCTTTGCCTTTTGGCAGCATTTTCTGCTTGTGTAACATAGCTGATGCATTAGGTAGAATATTGTAAAGATCATTGGTCTTGTTAACAAATATTTATTCTAAATTGAGGCTGTGATACTGGAATGAAGTAAAATTACTGGCATAAATTTATAGAAGAAAGTTTTGGGATTTGGGTTTTGTAAAGATGTAGAGGATATAATAAGAGAAGGATATAATAAGAGAAGTACCAGTATTTTAGAGGCTGTATTCATACCTGCATAGGAAACAGCTGACACAGGGTAGTTCTGTGACAGTACATCTCTTGTCATGGTTTGAAGCAGAAAGGCATGGCAGTGATTAGGAGGTATCTGTAAGTTCACTCTGAGTTGAGACTCTTGCTAGAACCCAACAGGCAGTTAGAAGGCTGGTAAACAGCAGAATGTAAGGCTGTATTGACTTGTAGGTCCAAGTTGGTAAATGATACATGGGCTCTTGCCACAGCCTCATACATAGGAGAAGACAACAGCAGGGCTTCTCCTCTAATTCAGGTTCTTGACAGCAGTGAATCAAATGTTGAGTAGATAAGGACCAAAGCTTTATTTCTTAAAGGACTCCTTTCTCACCGTAACATGCACACACACATATCCCCTCTCAGTTTGCAGTTGTTCCCCTACAGCTTCTCACCTCGTAAGCTGGTCCAGCAGGAGAGTCTGAAGAACCATAGCGATCTAGTCCAACGGACAGAATGTTGTTTGCTGTGACATCTATCTTTGCAATGATTATGTCTTTATGACTTTCATATTGCTCTCCTAGCTTATCCCAGACTGGCAGGAGTTTTCTGCAGTTGTAGGACCAAGGGGCATCTGCAAATTTAAAAACAGAAGTAGAAGGATAGAGTCTTCCAGAAGAGCATGTGCTGGTGCAATCACTGGGACCCATTTAGCCCTTAAAGTTAACAGGGTTTTGGATTTCAGTGGTGGTCAGTCTCTACTTGAAACCATTCACCCCCCATGAATTTCATGAGTTTTCATGTGGTGATAACTAGCTATTCATGGATGCATTTCTGACAGCAGTGCTGCCTTTGCTCTGTTTAGCCATTTGTAACAAACACACACTTGCCATGTGACTTTACTGGAGAGGCATGCCAGATACTTAGTGCAACCCAAGTAGGTCTTGCGTCATTCCCATGGTGAAATACTTGCCAGAAGCACCAAATGCTTTCTAATACATACTAAAATTAACTGTGTTCATAAACTATGTTATATTTACACTAAAAGGAGGAGTTTGAGGTATGGTGGTGTTTTCATTCTGAGCACTGCACTCATGCAGGTTAGCAAAAAGGCAAACTGCTGAGAACCCAATATCCCCTTAAATAGCATATAACACAGTCAGAATTCTTCAGTCATGAGAACAATGATGAGAACATCAGTTTAGATGGAATTAAAATTTTGGGGGCACTTTCCTGAATACACTACATCCTATTTACCACCCTTTCATTCCAGGGGACTTGAGTCAATTCCTGCTTCAGTTTGTTTGCTTCCATCAGTTTGCTCACGATACTGAAATGTAAAAATTACTTACATGAGTGAAAAGGCTGCAGCCAACAAGGAGGATTGCAGGAACATATTACCTTTAAAAATGTTTGGAATTCAGGGCACTACAGCTAGTTGTCTATATTTATGTTAATGCTGCGTGTTTGCTCTGCTGAAGTAACTAAGGCACAGACTAATCTCTGCGGACTGGTACAGGGATGGGGTTTCTTGCTGGCAAGAGTCAAGCAGGAAAGCCACTTCACTTGCAGACGGAGGAAGAAAAAAGGAGTTACGATTTGCTAAACCACAACTCCTCTCTGGGATTTAATCCTAGAGCATTATAACCAGACAACCTCACTTAACTCTCCCTCTGTCCTTGGAAGACAACCTGACTCGTACGGTACAGCACGCTGTAACATTCCAGTGTACAACATAATGTTCTAGTGTTATTTTGTCTTTCAGCACGGAGATTTGATACAGTCTTGACAAATGTTTACTTAAGGGATCCAGTGTTATTCAGTGCAACCCCAAGTCAGCAAAGGTATCACAGTGTTTGCATAGATATGACACAAATTTTTCTTCAGTGCTTTCACTGGACAACAAAGATTCATTAAGCTTGGCTTCTGTGTAGTGCAAAAATCAGTTTGGTATGTAAGCATGAGCTTCTGTTTTTTGTTTCTAATTGACGATGTTAAAGCAACTTCAAGTCTGAATACAACAATAACACTTACAAAGCATAACAAACACAATCATGGTCTTATTGAAGACAATCCTGTTGAAATTCTTCCCAACAAGCACTTCGGCAGGCATCTTGTCCCAATCCTCTGGAATTTCTTCACTAGAGAGACGTAGCTAGGCAGAAACAGAAACACTGCTGTGAAAGTGCTGGGAGCACTGAGAAACTGTGCTTCAGCTCAAGTTAATGTGAGACCAATCAGATGTTTCTCTACCTAATGTGCGTTATTACTGTACGTTGATTTTTTTTATGTCCTAGTCAACCTTCATGTGCTACCATCTTCTCTCCCTTCAGTGGGGAGCTGGGCTCACACCCCTATGTAGTTAGTAGTCAGAATTACTCGTCCCTCTCTTCAGTATGGACTCCGTGGTAGATTGTCTGAAAATGACCCTTTGGAACATGTATGTATTCATTGTCCTGAGTTCTTGTTGCCCAGTGTTCAGAAGCTAGATTACTGAAAAGCTTATCTATTGTGGGCTCTCAAAAGTGAGGTAAAGCACACAAGAAAGTATATATTGCTGCTTAAATCTCTGCCTTTGCCACCAATCACATTCCCCACATGACTGCTACAATTTACAGTATATTAGCTGGCAATTTCTTTTCTCTTGTACCACAGTGCAGTAGTAGAAAGGCATAGATTCCCCATGGAAGCTGTTCCCTGGTGGGAGAGTGCCATTCAAGCAGATCTTGGTGGAGAAGTGAAGACGTCCCCACCTCTTCTGTCTTCCTGCCTCCCTCCAAAATTGAAGTTAGGGTCAACTACTCAAATCTCCTAAATTCTGCCTGCTGTCAGACTGTCTGCTTCATCTTTTCTCCTCATGATGGAAACAAACATAAATCACCTTGAACAGCACTGAATAAGCAAAGCATTTTAATGTATTTTTCATGCAACTGTGGAGAATGATGCCTCATTATGACAACTAATACTGTATCTACTATTGGGAATGATCCCTCCTGTGAAAATTCACTCTGTTAAACTCACTCACAACAAATACCAATTCTTACTCTACTCTGAAACTGTCACGTTTTCTATTTACTGGACTTCTCTGTAAACTCAAAATCCATTGCAATCATTGTTTGCATCTCTCCCAACCAAGGAAGTGAAATATCTCCAATATAGTATTGGAAAGGTTGAGACCTAAGGAGTTTTTAAACCACTAAAATACATCAACTGAAATCAGCTAAAATATTGGGCCATAAATGGTTTATCCAGTTTTTACATAGGAGGACTGGAAAACTTTGTAGTCTACCTTAGTTGTTAAATGTAGAGGAATGCTCTGTGAACAACTGTAGATGAATGCATCAGAGCAAGAATAAATTAGTAAACTGATGTTTGGAACAGCACGCTGTTCTAATTATAAAAGGGATGTTTTGCAAATGTGTTAGTGGTTTAGCTGGTGTAGTAGAGGGGCATCTCATTATTAATGGACATACCTTTGCTTTTCCATTTAGATAGCCCTGGCAAAATTGTTTTAGGTTCTCCAGTCACCTCATCTGCAGGCATTTTGTACTTTGCACCACTTGTCAGATTTAGGATTCTCACAGCAGGAACATCAGCCTCCCTCATGCAAATGTACTCAAACTTGTCCATTCCTTGTTTCATTAGTATCCACCAAGACAAACATTATGTGATGATAGTCACGCATCTGGTTGAGTCTTCCAGCTTTGGTTTAGCCATTTTCGAGAAACGGACCATGGAGCTTGGCAGTGGGTTAGGATCTAACCTTAAATGCAAGGAGTTGTGCAGAACCATTTTTTGGTCTCAGTCTGACAACCAGCAGTTCTGTGGACTTTATCATGCCTTGATCCTAGTTAATAACAAATGCTAAAGCAGCCAACAGGAATGGAGCTTTTCTGTCTGTCCTTTCACAGTGGTTTGCTATCACCTATTTATCAATACTTTTAAATTACCCTTCAAAGCTCTTATTACTCTTCCTAATAGATCTTAACAGAACATAAGAGCTGAAACACCTGTAATCTGTATATCTTTACCAATACTAATGTGTGATATTTTATTACAAGAGGACTTACCATTCTTCATTGTCTCACGTACTTGGAGCAGGATCAGTACCACAGCGACTGACAATGGAAAACTGGAATACTTCTGTGTACAACTGCCTATACGTGTTTATATACATGCAAACACATGTGCCGCAAGCACGGCTATGCGGATGCCTTGCAGTATTTCTCAGGTTTTGTAGCAGGTGCTAGCTCTTGGTTCAGGCAATGTCCTGAGATACTCCTGGTATTTCCTGGTGGTGACGGAAATTGCCAGAACCTTGCCAAAACTGTCTTTGTTGGAAGTTGCTCCTAGAAAGTCATATGTGTAAAATCAGATAGAGGTTTATTGGGAGCAGGTGGAATTAGTGTTTGTCTATGTGATCTTTGTATTTTAAAGAATCATTTTGAAATGAAGTTTTTCAGCTTGTGTCCTTAACAAATTCAAAGAGTAGTTACTGAAACTATTGGTTTGGTAGACTGAGAAGGTGGACGGACAGCGGTGTACTTTTACCAGTAACACTGGTGAGTGTTTTTCCATTGATCTTTTGGCATTCATATTTGCAAAGCAGGATTCAGCATTACAAACCTTTCCTCTAAATTCCGCAGCAGCAGACTTGTAGTTTCCATAAATCCCATTGAATTTCTCCGAGTTTGTTTTCATCCTCGAACAGCAGGATGCGATTTTCAACAGGGACATCAAAAATCTTCACAGATGTCTGGGAAACAAAAGACTCAACATCTGTTCCACTCTTTGTAAGCAGAACAGTGAATCAGTCATTTCCATAACTGTTGGATATTTTTTCATTGTTTTAAAGAAGATAGTGAGAAGAATCAGCAGCTGCTGAGTGTTTTCTTCGTTCCAGGGAAAACCTCATCATTATTCATAGATTTTTACAGTCAGAAGGGACTCTTATGATCTTCTAGTCTGACCTCCTGTATAACCACACACTGAAGAATTAATGATAAAGATGTGGTGAAAGTAAAAGGTAATGTTACCCAAGGAGGCCAAACAGCAGCAGCTGCAGGAGCTGAGTCTGGTTGGGGTACTTGCTTCACGTCTGGGTGGCATCAGCAGCTTATGTCTCCTTCCCTGGACAGAGCTGCTCTTTTTCTCATGCCATCCCACAATTAGAAGCAACGGGGCATCCCCCGGGCAAGCAGGTATTCCCGTGTCTTTCTCTTTCTACCTGCACTACCAGCAACTGTGGTTGCTTGCTTTCTTTCATGTTTTGGTCCAGAGGACCCAGCTGCTGCGTGCGAGTGGAAGAGGATAGGATAGGGATTGACCTTCCAACCTCCCACCCCATCTAGTTTGCTGCAGAAGCAACCAGACCTTTGTTTTGGCTCCACAGGAAAGCGGTGTTTGCGTGTTCAGGCCAGTTCATTATTTGGCTAGATGTTCCCCGTCTCCTCTAAGAAGCAACATCTTGCCAGAGGGAAGCATCCTTTAGCATGGATTAGACCAAGAGCTGCCTGTTGTGTTCGGCTGGTGTTTCTAGATGTGTTTATGGCTGGCCTAGCCAAACAAGCAAACAAAATTCTCAAACGCTAAGGAGCAGAATTGCTACCTAGATCTCTTTCTGCAGGGATTCCTGTCTTTCTCTTGTGGCTTTTGTTAATACACATACCTCAAGATTATATTCAGTGACCAAATCCAAGGTAAAGGTTTTGATAAGCCTCGTTAGATCCAGTTTGTTCTGTCCTCCATCTTCAAGCACTTCATTATGCACAGGTTTTCCCGTGGACAAATAGTGATGTTTGTGAGGTTGTTGGCCTTACCAACTACAGGAGCAACGAGACTATCTTTACTCTAAAATGTTGTCTCAGCTTTGCTATTTTATGATCCTCAGTAACTGAAATTCCATAACTTGTAAAATAAATGTCACAGCTAGATTACAGAACAAGATTATAGCTAACAATTCAAGGTACAGCTGACAGTTTTAATTTGCTCAGTAATCTTAACATATTGAAAGATCTTTTCCATATCTATATACAGTATCTGTGACATACACTCAGTCAGGACGTCCTTGGTCTGACTACTTCATAGCCTAAATGTTGATGCTACTTCTGTGTAGTTTTGTTCTTGTTGTTTGCCACTTCTTCTGTTGTGGACTGGAAGAAAAGAAGATTCCTCTCCAACAGCAACGCAAAGGAAAAGACATGAATGTCTGTGAACCTCACTGAACTTGGCAGGACATGTTGATTAGAATATGGGTTGGAAAATTAAGCCATTTTATCCAGATCCTTAACTATAAATTAGGAGCCTGAATGTAGGCAGACAGATTGAAAGTAGCAGTTGTCCAAAGGTGGCTGTTTGCCTCCTGCTTGTCTCTCTTGTCTGTAAATGCAATATTCTTTGTGTTAAGCTCTTTGAATTTCAACTAGGAAATTATTTAACCTGAAAAATTCCCAAAGTGCCTTTCTGTAGCCCAGAGCTGCTACAGCAGCTCACTGTGTCTTGCCTGCTAGGCTTGCATTCCTACCTGCTTAAACATAACAAGAGTGTTCTTTTGGATGCCATAGTTAGCACAGAGGTCCTTGCTGGCTGTCATCCTGAAAAGCATCTCTGGCACATCTTTTGCTCTCTCAGAGAAAACTTCCACACTGTCATTGTGAAGTTCCTAGTCCCAGAAAGAGTATTTATTAAGACTGTGTCCTGCATCCTGCTAGGATGTGTAGCAGTGAGAGCTACAGGTGAGGCAGGCCCCTGAAGGCTTGTTAGGTGGAGAAGAAACTCTAATTGTAAAGTGGATATAGCTTGCCATGATGACCTCCAAGGGAGGTCTTCACAATAGAGGAGATCCTAGGAGGGCTGTGACACCACCAATGCATTCACCTTTCCACCTAGCGCTGGGTGGACTGGGTCAATATGGACGGTGTATGGTCCCCTATGTCCTTCCTGTGCTAATCTCATCTGCCCTGAACTCCCCTGGCGTTTCCACACTCTGCAAAGACTTCTGCAGATGGGGGAGGATCGTGCCAACAGCTGCTCCCCTGCCGCAGCTCATCTGCACAACCGGCGGGGTGTGATGGATTAGAGAGGAGGGCTCTCTGCTTGCAAGAGGACCTGACAGATGTGTTTTGTACTTTGATGGAGTGCTCTTCAAGGCAGGGACCTGATCTGACTCCTACATCTGTCAAATAGTCACTGTGCTGTCCACCCTCAAACTAATAGTAAATGAGCATGATGAAAGGCAACAGTGCTTCCAGATCTGATTTAATCAGATAATTATTTCATGCTAGATGAATAGTAATTTGTATGCTGAGACCTCCCAACACATCCTGGCACTCACATTTGTGAGCAATCTGTGACTAATAGAAGGCCAAATACAGCTCTTTATTTACTTGGACACTATTTTGTTGGCTTCCACCCATTAAATTTCTGACGTGCCCTAGCTCATGCTCATCTATTGTCATTTCAGCCCCTGCTTGAAATCAGAGTCCAGTCAAACACATCTGCAGGCAATACCTGCTATCAGCGTGGTTCAGGGAACTCTCCAGCATCACTGCCATAGCAAGGGTTTCTCAATCTGACCCAGCACTGGAAAACTGCCTTCCTTCCTTCATAAATGACTGCAAGCAGATTGCTGCAAAGCAAAATTCTGGGCACTGAGCATTTTCACAGCTTGCCCTATTATGCTGTATGTGTTCACCAGCTCTGTTACTGTGGGGCATTTTGGTAATGAATCCTGTTTTCCATATCTATAAAACTTGGACTATCCACTGTAGCCAGCACATTTGGGACCTTATCAGCTCAGGTATGAGTCCAGACACTGTGCTTTTAACTGGGCAGAGAGATACCAGAATAATAGTCTCTTTAGTTAGAGAAAGTCTTTGATTGAATGTTTCAGATATTAAAGATTTCAATAACACATTGAAAATGCAGGAAAACACTATTCCTATTTTACTGACTTTTGACTGCATGCCTTGATAGCTGAAATTTATTTTGCACTATCTGACTGTTGTTCTGTATCATTCAGCCGCAAATCCTAAGAACCTTATTCAGCCTGGAAATTAGTAGGAATTTGCTTGAGAAAGGACTGCATGAGTTGGATTGTATACAGTGTAATATTTTACAACTTCCTATCCATGCAGATTTCTTAGCTGACAGGAGCTAAAAACCACAGTTAGTGTCATATTCATGGAGCTGTGCTGAGTTTCACTCAAGTTTAAATCATTAAATGGAAAGATGAAGAAAAGGTAGTCCAGTATATTAGACAATATTTAATGCTCTTTTATGGACTTAAGCAGGAAGGAAACATTCCTTCACCACAAGAGCCTGCAACTATTCATGTCTATGATTTTACACCGTGTTTGAATAGAAATGCAGTGGTCAGGTAACCCTAGATCTTTAGATCGGTTACAACTCTGGGCAGGAATTACAACTATTTGCATTTGGAGACTCCAGTAGCAGTATAACCCACACCAGCAATGGGTTAAGTCTCTCCAAAGAAAAGGATGGAATTAAGTAAGGCTAGGTAGGTCAACAGTTCTGCCCTCTTCCCACCAGCCACCAAATTTGGGATGGTTTGGCAGAAGCCCTTTCTTGGAGGATAGGGGAAAGTGTGCTGTGACCAGAGATGTGCAAACACCGCTGTAACATCATGCTCTCAGAAACTCCTCTAAGAGTGGTAGGTCTCTGTGCCTGGGTACATAGTCAGGAAAAGTGCTGTGGTATGAGAAGTTCTTATGTCTGCCTGGGCTGTTTATCTAGAAGTGTGAAAACGTAGATAGAAACAAGTAAGAAAAAAATGCAGAGAAGACTGAGGGCCTGGGTTTTTACGGTGAGTTCAAGGTCTTTTGGATATGTGGGATTTGGTGGCAATGGCAAGCAGTGTATCCCGAAGTTGGAAGAGTAACCAGCCTTCTTGAGTTTTCCAGTGAAATACCTTAACAAAGCCAATCATTGCCAAATAGTCAGCATGTGTGATAGCTTCAGCCTCATCAGTAGAGTTGATTAAAACCGTGCTAGGTCCTGTTCTTTTCACCGACATAATAAAGGCTGACACCTGTCTGACTCCTGCGGAAGGAAAAGAGAGTTAAAATGACTGTCAGAATGAATGTCAGAAATTTCTGTGCAATCAAGATAGATGCAGTGGAGGTGCAGAAGGATGCTGAATACAAGTGAACCTGCGCTCCTTAAGACTGATGTCAAAGCTGATTCGAAGTGGGCTTTGGCCCCGAAGAGGCCAAATTCAGCCTCAGGTTCTAGTCACCATTTAAATTATTGCTGACTCTAGAAGATCAGCAATGGATTAGTATTATGTTTTCTGGGACCTCTGAAAATGGCTGTGTGTCCAGTTATATTCTTAATCACAGATGGAGAAGAGAGATGAGGAAATTCAGACAAGTAGAAAACCTCTTCTGCAAAGTTTCGTGTGTCCCAAAATCACAGTAAGCTATAAAGAGCTATCGACCCGAGGCTTAATCCAAAATGACTGCAAACCAATTGCAGATTTTATTGAACTGTCTGTTCAATTAAATTAGGTGTCAGAATTGTTCCTTTGGTGATGCAGAAGGGATCTGATAGGCACAGAGACATTAAAATTCCTCTGTGGTGCTGCAGCTTCACTTTTCACTTCAGACATAAGAAACAAAGCTGAAGTGTCAAAGTTGTCCTTTAATTCTGGATTGTTCCATCTTTTGGGTTCCAAATTACTGCTACCAGTTTTATTGAGATTACAGTCAGTCTGTTTATTTGGTAAATTCTCTTCAAGCTTTCAGCAGTTTTAGGAAATCTTGAGTCTCTTTAAAAAATACAATTTCTAGCTATCATGTTTTCAGAGGAATTGAAGCCACAAATTGAGGCTCAGGGGATGAAAATCTCAGTAGCCCTTTCATCTCTGTGAGTATGACATCCTTGTGGGACGAGAGTGAGAGCCCAGCAAAGAGTTAATGAAAATTGTATATGAAAGTCTGTGTGCTGTGAAGTGCTAGAGTCAACATGTACAGTACAAATGGATTATCAAGGATGCAAGTCCTGGTACTGTGCATTTTAGCAATATGACAAGATCAAAATTGAGTCAGACCATTTTACTGCCATCAAGTCACTTTGCAGCAGGCCACACTGCAAATAATTTAAAGTACTATGGGTTTTTTTAAGGTGAAGTAGGCAGGCATCTGCTCTGGAGTGTATAGTCTGCAGAGCAAAGCACAGAGCAGTATCTAGTGGCCACATAGTGCTTGACTTCTGCTGTCTAAATGCAGAATTGAGCTCTTGCAGCTTATGGCAGTGATATAACCCCTCAGCGTATTTTTCACGTGGTTAATCTTTCTATTAGGTTGCTTTAAACAGCCTGTGTAGCTTGTTTCTTCTGGCCAAATTCTGGCCGTGGAGTTGTAAATGATGATTTTACAAAGCCTAGGATTTGGCTTTCATGGTACATCCATTGTAGGGACAACCATTCAGCAGTTCCCTCTTCCATAAAATATTTGAGTAGATTTCTCTGTTTAAGCATGGTCTGCTGTTTCTTTTGTGGAGAAATTCACAGGTTCTGTATGAGAAGCCATTGGGTGGTCGCTGCGCATTTTCAGTTGCCATTTCTCAATGATTTAGAAGTCATACGCGATAGGTGAGATTGTACTGCTTGTTGTACGTGAGCATTTACCAGTGAACAAAATGTAATTTAAGTCATTGGTGGTGGTACATGTGCTCTGAACATTTGACACTATCTTGTACAAATCACAGAGCATAAGCCAGTTTGCTAACTTCTTGTGTCTTGCTGCTAAGTATGTTTTAAATAGCAGGTCTTTGCTGAAGGGTGACTATGTGCGTGTTGTGTTACGATGCTCTGTGTTCACCAGTCCTCACAAGAGTACCTGTCAAATAGGTTTACCAGTTTAAAAGAGGTTTTCTTGTCAATGCTATAGATTTAATCAGAGACTGAAGATAGGTGCTTTCGCTGTCGTGTGTCAGCACCTCTAATAAAAGTTCAGTATAGCAAATCGCACTTTCGGTGGCATTTGTGCAGAAGCTGCTGTTTGCTCAAGTCTAGATGATGGGAACTTGGTAGGAAATTCAATAGCAAGGAGAAGCAAGTTACTAAAAATACTGAAGATCAGCTTTCAGCAGCAGCAGCCACAGGGGACTCAGCAGTTAAAGAAATTAGAGCACTCAGTTGTGTACAGGCTGAGGAGGCAAACTTTATGTTCCTTTTTTTGTTGGTTGTAGTAAGCTTGTCGCTCAACTGTACCTGCTCAGAGTACACTAACAGATGCTTGGCCAAGCCATGTAATTTTTGTCAACCGTGTAAAAGTTCGTCATTTTAGGGGGAAAAAAAGTATATACTTTCAGTGAAAAAAACAACTCTAATAAAGCCTGGGTTTCTCAGGACTGCTCAAGTCAGTCCTATTCCAATATTGTTGTCTTTGCTTAATAACTTTCCATAAAAGATTTCAAATTATTCCGTGTTTTTTCTGAGCCACATATGAGCTCCCTCTGGTGGCTGAATTGCAAAATTCTTTTTCTTGGCTTAGGAAGTATACCTGTATATGAAGGACTTGGTGAATTCGCAGTTCATTGTTAGATGCAGAGTATTGCTTTAGCCTACTTCTGTAGGCACACTATCCCTGGGAATTGCAGTGAACTAGAAGTGGTGCAAACAGAGCAGGTTCAGGACCAAGTTCTTGTTGGTGTAACTAATGTATTTATGTTTATTGTAGTAAATGGGAGCAAGTTGTATTGTTGGGGTGATTCGCTGTACTCAGTGGAATTACACCAGCAATGAATTTGGCTGTGTGAACTAAGCAGAGAAGCATATTCATTTATACACTTGGAAGATGAATTCAAATCCAAGTTCATATATTGGTACAGAGGTAATTGTATATTTTAAACCATGGGCAAAACCAGTTTGCTACCCTGCATATTCTTTATCTGAGCATCTGTATTTTTCTTCTTAGCGGCATAATGGATATCGTCCTGTCATAAAAGACAACAGCCTGTCATTACATATCATTATCATTGCATAAGACAGTTTACCTTTGTACCTATGAGATCTTCCCTGCTGCCATCCACAAAAAATTTCACAGTAGGAAACTCTCAAATATTTAATTTTTTTCTCAAATCATGTTGGTGTGTTGACATCAATTTTGCCAAATTGGATTCTTGGAGCTTCTTTCTTTAAGTTGTCGTGCAGCCTCAGCAAATTCTTCAGACGAATTCTGAGATGACTGAGATAAAGAAACCTCAGCCAAAAGAGAATGATTGTTCACCACTCCACATGTTCTTGGACCAGTCACAGTGAACTAGTAGGATTGCAATAGTCTTCTGTTGGGAAGAAGTGACATGGAATTAAAAAGTAGTTTGACTGACTATGCTGGGTATGAGTTAAAGGGAGGTCAAGGGTGTACTTAGATGTTACTCACATTAGGAGTCTTTGGGAAGATACCGTGTTTGTAAGCACTTCACTGAGGCAAGCCTTTGCAATGCAGAAACTACTTTTCCAGATAAGATACCGAGGAGTGAAGAGAGCAACAGAGTATGGTCTTTTAGAGGCTGGCGATGTATTTCTGCATGCAGTGCTGTGTGCCAGCCCTTCTCTAGCTCAAATGGCACTTGTGTGTTTGGAGGAAGGAGAAGAGCCACCCTAGTCTGGGCCCTGGAGCTAGAAGTTATTTTAACATGGAAAAGAGAAAGAAACTAGTCACACATCGCTGCTCTGCATTAAAAGTCAAATGAGAGGTAGAGGCCTCGAGTTTTACAGTTTTGCAACCTGAGTTGAAAAGAAAATGAATCTGACTTTCTTTTGGTAAGATGCAGATACCCTATCTTGTTAAATTTGTTTTATTATAAAGAGCAAAACCTTTTTCTTTAGATTGTACACAGAAAATTTTTAGTTGAAAAACATCCTGCTAATCTTGGTTTCATACATTTATGTGTGTTCTTGTGTCTATCTCTGTCTGTGTGTGTGTGTATACACACATTCAGGTATATATCTACACAAGCATGCATGTATATGCACCAAAGCAGAAATCTAACAAAGTAACTGTCTTTTGTTCTTTCACAAAATTACAAATGCCCTTCTCTACAGCCTACATGGTGAAGACGTTGCCGAACCAATAATTGTAACTAAAAAGTGAATGAACATTTCTGTATGAGTTCTAATAAATGAAGGATAAAACCACTAATCTAACTCAGTGCTGGATTACATTTCTTGCATTATTCATCATTATCCTTGCTCTGAATCCCAGCCATCAATCATTTTCTTCCACCTAACTGCTGCAGCGAGGAGTCTGAAGAGTAGCATTAAATAACGTTGTTTTCTCAAAATATTAACCTGATAGGCCATTTCAAATTCTTAAGCGTATAAACCCATCGTGGCGTAGGCTTACAGAAACCCTGGCACTGGAATGGCTGGTCCAGCTGCTAACATGCTAAAGGGGGTTCTTGTTAGTGGAAAAAAACTTAGTGTCTGTTCAGGAGGCACTCAGATACCATTGTGATTGACAGAAGGGACTTCTGTAGTTAAAGTAAATGAGACTTAAGGCATCAGTCCAAGCCAATTGTGTCCTAATTGTCTGTAAAATTACTGTTTCATTAAATAAATTTATTTTGATTTTACAGAGACATTCTCAGAGATTTTATCCTAATTTTAATTTCCTTTTTCCAAATTATAAAAATGGTCTTACAAACCATTTCCCCAACAATTTTGTAATGTGGTATCTCCTAGCACAAAAATAATTGGAGTAGTATCTCCAGTTGTGTCTCGATATGCTTGAGAGGTAACTGCAGAAAACCATGATATCTATTAGGAGTTCTGACCTATCAACATAAGAAATAGCATGTCTACCCTATAAAAATACTGCTGCTTCTAGGGACACTGTGAAGCTTTTATGAAATATATTTGCTTAAAATGACTGCGAAGATATGTGGACTTTTAAATAAAACATGGGGTACCTGCTATGCAATTTAAGGGTGCTGATATACAGTGTGCCTGTGGCAGGGTTAGCCCCAAACAGTTAGACCGAGTTACGGGACTTTCCAAGAGGAAAAGTGTATTGCTCTGGACGGAGTGCTGTGTTGGAGTAAGGAGCAGGAAGCCACAGAGCGACTGGGGATCCAGCACCTTCTAGCTAATTCCAAGGCAGTGTTTTACTCCAGAGGCAATTTCAGTATAATGACTTTTTCCTGATTACCTCAGATTGCACAGATGTTTTATCACAATTGGGAATTTGGAAGATCAAATGCTTTTTGCACAGTGAAACAAGACTCTCTTGGGAAGAGGCAGAAGAAATTGTTGGTGAAGTCTAGACACAGAAGCTGAAGCCACATACAGGCTTCCCAACTATACAGGAAATAATCAGCTTTATAGACTTTAGAGATGTATGTAGATTGTCTGGGGGGGGCGGGGGAGCAGTGTCAAGATCCATCTTTCTCTGAAATATTTCAATTCCAAACAGATGCTTTAAGAATGATCTGTTATCACTGAGTGACCTGAATAGGCAGAGCTGCAGGTAGTAATGTAACTAGCATGCTTAGATAATGAGAGTTGATAGAGTTAGTAGCTCCTGGCTGGAGCTGGGAAAAGTGCATGACTCCACCCTGTAAAAAGTAATCTCTGCACTCAGAGACCAGGAGAAACCCGAGTGCCGTTAACCTGATAACTGCGAGACACAGGTTCAGTGAGTGAACAGCCTGCTTCATCAGACAGATAAAAGCTGTTTCCTTGACTACCCAGCAAGTGGGTGGAAATATCCATCACGCACCTTTCCTCTGCTTTCCTGAGTGATTAGTCTCTTCAGCTTTCCATCAATTCCTTTTCATTCCACTCATTCTCTATTTGCCTCCCAGGTGTTTTATTTTTCAAGTCACTTAAGTGTTACAGGAAATCATCACTCCTTTTATTTGGAGCCCTTTCTTGAGTTTTGTTTCGCTTCCTCTGTTTCAAGTTTTTGTTGACACCGATCGCTTCAGGCATTGGGGTGAGGAAGCATCTGCTGAGGCCAACACAGCGTCACAGGCTCTGGACTCGAGGAGAGCTGAGCACCAGCAGTGTACGAGGGCAGATGCAGAAGAGAGGTAACAGAGTTGATGGCAAGGTCACCTGGGAAGACATGTGTGGGCGGTGGGACACCGGTGTAAACCGGTGTGCTGTGCCACAGCTCCCAGAAGCGAGAGGCCCTTCAAAGGCCGTCAGCTCAGGAATGGCATTGTATTAACAACGGGAGAATGTCTTCATTATCAGTAGTTTTAGTTGTGTTGTAGATAAAAAGAAGAATAATTTAAGGGTTTGTTGAGATTTTTAATACTTCCTCCTAGATAGTGTTTTTGACCTGTCTGTCGGAAATACTACTGTATTCCCTCCCACCCTGTGTCATTGCTGTTTTGTGAAGTTTCCTTTTCAAAATGGATGTGAACCTCCAAGGGAGCGTCTTAACCGATGGCCACCATTTGATCAGTGACCACTTGACCATTTGAAAGTGAAGTCTGGCAAACTGAAAAGGAATACAGATTTTTAATCAGACGGTCAAGAATGCTGATTTTTACAGCTCAAACCACTAGCAGTCTTGTTCTAGGCAATGTAAAACATCTTGTGAGAAACCAGTCCTACCTCTGAAGAATTTACAGTGTGACTGCGTAAGGATCAAGAACGAGGTGGGTATCATAACGTGTCATCATCTCCTTCTTAAAGAGTCAGAGTATATTTTGCCTGAAGCCACACCAAATGGATATGGCAAAAGTGGGAAGAGAACCGGAAATCTTGTCATTTGAGAGACTCTTTCTCTTGAGTACATCAATAACCTGAGTAAGCTGCTAGTTTTTTTCCATAGTGCAACTTGCTGAACTGAAATATATTGAAATGTGGACAGAGAAAATTTTTGCAGATATATAAATGCGTTTAATAACCCTAAAGCATTCTTGAAGTGAGTATACATGAAAGCATGATGAGTTCCTCCTTCTTTAGTTAATTGCTGGTGGCCTCCAGTTTCATTCTGCAGTCTATACTGATGGTCTAGTGACTGCTGCAGTCATGAATATGCCTGTTGTCATGCTAAATACTGATTTTCTAGCTGTTTGTTTCTACCATGGTCAGAAAGTGATTTTAGCAGTCCTAGTTTTCATCTTCTTTGTAGGCTGCTTTTGCAGTTTCACTACAGATATATAATTTTCTCTGTAGAGACTCTTGAAGATGGATTAATGTCTAACATATCAGAGTGGAAGGATGTTAGTCTTGGTGCGGTTGCAGACTTTCTTGTGTGCCCTTGAATTCTCCCATTCTATTCTACGGTGAGACACAGCCCATAATCTCCTGTGCTGACTTCTGTACTTTTAAACTGATGTTTGCAGTACACTTGAGGAGATCTGTGATGCACACATCAAGGATTATTCTACAGTTTGGATCCTTATTCAGAGCATTCAATTAAATAGGCATGTGTAAGACACACCTACATAAGGGACCTATGGTAATCAGTAAGTCTGTGCAGCAGGCAACTAGAACGTCATCTAGAGACTCTTGTACCTGTCTGGACATGTGTTTCCACTGTCCTGCTCATTTTTATATGCATAGTTCGCAAGCAATTTAAGTAACTTTTCAGAAGATTTACTCCTAAAAGACTGACACAGATTTCTGATGAAGCCTACAGGAATAAGGCACATTATGCTGTCTTTCACACTGCACTACGTTCCTGTAGGAAGCTTAGTTGTAAGACATAACTATTCTGGGTGGTTTTGAACTGTTTGCATTCACCTCCTCCGTTGTATGCTGAAATCAGTTCTTAGCACAGGAGTGAGTATGCTTTGGACACTGGCTTTATAAGTGAGCTGACCATCTGATTGATATAAGTGATTTAAGATCAGTCACGCCCCCCCTGCTTTCTAGAAATCACCCTTTTTATGAACTACATATATGCATAGGCAGCAATTTCTTGTTTTTTTTCAAGCACATCACCATCAGCTTTTGTACCTTGAAAAGGAGATGTTTGTCTGTAAGAGTAACCCTCATCTTGCCTGTTAAATGTCATTATCTCAACATAGATTGTCAGTCACAGGCTGTGTTTAAACCCATTGTATTGCCAGTGAAAATGAAGAACAGTTTAATACCCACTTCTATGCAGAAACAGAATCACAGAATCACAGAACAGTAGGGGTTGGAAGGGACCTCTGTGGGTCATCTAGTCCAACCCTCCTGCCGAAGCAGGGTCACCTACAGCAAGCTGCACAGGACCTTGTCCAGGCAGGTCTTGAATATCTCCAGAGAAGGAGACTCCACAACCTCCCTGGGCAGCCTGTTCCAGTGCTCCGTCACCCTCAGAGAGAAGAAGTTCCTCCTCATGTTCAGACGGAACTTCCTGTGCCTCAGTTTGTGCCCATTACCCCTTGTCCTGTCACTGGGCACCACTGAAAAGAGCTTGGCCCCATCCTCCTGACACCCACCCTGCAGATATTTGTAGGCATTTATAAGGTCCCCTCGCAGCCTTCTCTTCCTCAGGCTGAACAAGCCCAGTTCCCTCAACCTCTCCTCGTAGGGGAGATGCTCCAGTCCCCTCACCATCCTCGTAGCCCTCCGCTGGACTCTCTCCAGTAGCTCTTCATCTTTCTTGAACTGGGGAGCCCAGAACTGGACACAGTACTCTAGATGAGGCCTCACTAGGGCAGTGTAGAGGGGAAGGAGAACCTCCCTTGTCCTGCTGGCCACACTCTTCTTGATGCACCCCAGGATCCCATTGGCTTTCTTGGCAACCAGGGCACACTGCTGGCTCATGGTTAACCTGTTGTCCACCAGGACGCCCAGGTCCCTCTCCGCAGAGCTGCTCTCCAGCAGGTCCACCCCAAGCCTGTACTGGTGCATGGGGTTGTTCCTCCCCAGGTGCAGGACCCTGCATGTGGCTTTGTTGAACCTCATCAGGTTCCTCTCTGCCCAGCTTTCCAGCCTATCCAGGTCACGCTGAATGGCAGCACAGCCTTCTGGTGTATCTACCACACCTCCCAGTTTGGTGTCATCAGCAAACTTGCTGAGGGTACATTCTACCTCTTCATCCAGGTCGTAAACAATGTGTTTGGGTACATTTAACATGTGTCATCTCAGTCATAGTATGGCCAGTTGCTGATGTGGGCCGATGCACTATATTTTAGCCCTGGGCTGGAGCATGTTGTGGGCTGTTTCTGCCTCTCTAGCCTGGGAAAGCCTTAAACGTGAATGGTATTCACCGTACTGTTTGGAGGATCTGAGGACATTCTTGCATGGAGAAATATGGCACAGTTGCAAAGTCCTGTGAAAACCGTTCTGATGACAGAAAAATGGGAAGGTTTATGAAAGGCTTTTGAAGAGAAATTAAATAGGAGATGTGCTTTACTGTGTTTAGACAGTTGTTTTCCCCGGGAAAACTAGAGTAAGCCAATACATGACTTCAACTGGTTACAGTTTGCCATGGTGTATAGCAGTGCTTTTAGTGTTTGTGTTTATAAGTACAAAGTTTATTCTCCCTGTGGTGAGGGTATTTATTAGAGCATGTGAGATTTTTTTGGTTTTGTTTTGTTTGAAAGCAATGATATTTTGCAATGAAAGTCAATACAGCGACTTACATTCAGCTAATGTATAGTGTAAACAGTAGAACTCTCCCATGCAGGCAACGCTGATGTAAGATCTACCTTCTGCTTGTGGGAAATGCTCTATATTCCCAGTGCTAATAGGCATTTGCATGGTGTTTAGATTAGTTTAACGTGGATGGGGAGATGCCACAGACTGCAGCAGAAGAGCACTTTCAGTTGAGCGTTGAGATTAGGTGCTCCTAGCCCATGCAGGGCACATAACTTAGCTGGGCAGGCAGCAGGGCTTGCGTCCACGGGAGAGCAGGCACATTGCTGTGTGCTGTTTGCATTGTTTTCAGACATTGTCCTCTGTGCCTTCCCAAAAACCAAAGAGAAGCCGGAACCCCTGTTCCTGTGTCCTTCCACACCCTCTTTCTACTGCCCCTTCAGCTACTTTCTTGTTGCACAGCGCAGTTGAGATGAGGGGAGAAGGGTGCTGGATTTCTGGGTCATTACTTTGCTTCTAGTCTGGGTACTTGCCCTGTGTACTTTGCTCAGCTTGTGAGTGTAGCCTGATACTCCTTGGCAGAAAGTCAGCATGTGTTTTTATAGTAAACATTGCCTGAGAGAAGGCAGACCTGGGACACTGTGAGGGAGGAACTGAAGGACATTAGAAGGACTTGGGAGTCGCTGGGCAGAAGACATCAAAGCGGGCCTCTCCTGATAAATATTGTGGGACTGGTAAGTAGATAATGGTGTGCAATGGGTAAAGCGTTGGAGTTTTCTCCTAATAGATAGGCCTAAGGCAGATCCTAGAGTGTTGAATCAAAGTTTGGAGTTCAAACTTCTCCCCATGTTGGTACAGCACCAGAAGAAATCCCGCTTTCTGGGAAGCATGGTGTTCCTTCCCATTCTCTGACTGCATCTCTGTGATTGAGAATGGGTCAGGAAGAGAAAGGTCTCAGGTCTTTCATTTGTTCTGGATTTCTGAAGCTAATTCCTGGCAGCCCCACAGATTTCCTGTGTGATCTGGGGAATATTGCTTTGTCTCTCATTGTCTAAGTTCCCTTAACAGTTTATTTAGATAGCCTGCTTTAAGGAGTAGGACATAAAAAACTAGGGCTTTATGGCTTCTCTGTGCAGGTGCATGTGCATGTCCTGTCTTCAGTCTCTGTGCTGTGGCAATGCAAATGGTTACAGCAAATGAACCAGCTGGTTCAGCATTGTGCACTCAGGTTTCCTACGTCCCAGGGCAGTGCCTCACTGCAGGATAGTTTTTCACAGCCCCAGAGGCTGTTTAGTGGCATGTCGCCAAAGGGAGCTGTTGAGATTGAGGCCAGTGCATTCTAGATAACGTATCTGGGCTGTGGAGCTCATGACTCTTGTGAGCGATTTCATAACTCTCTGCAGGGACTGTCGATGCCTTTATGGTTTGTGGGGCAAAGGCAGTCCACGAGTTTTCAGTAAACCCTTCAGAAAGACATGGTGACCTTGACTCCAAACCAGAATTCAAGTGAGGATCACTGGAGAACAGTGTGGTTGGGGAGCAGTGTTTTATCTCTGACTTTTTTGGAAGATGCAGTGTGGAATGGAAGAGTGTGTTTGTCCTTTCCTCCTGAAGAAAGCCAGTTTTGAGGGTGGTTGGGGTATCAGAGAGAGAGGTCCAAGACCCTGCTCTGAAGGAGGAGGAAGAAATCCTGATTTAGATCTCCCACATCCTTTGAGTGCCCAAGTCCCTGGGCTGCTGTATTCTGAACAATTCTTTCTTCATCTCTTGTCTCTTTATGAAACTTCTCCCATGTCTTCTTTCCGTTCGGTATTAGGTTGAAATCCAGAAGTGTGTTACAATATGTCATCGTTGATCAGCTCTGCTGGTACTGAGGAGATTTGGCTGCAAACTCTTCTCTCACCTGGACATTTAATTTCTGTGCTTTGAAGCAGCTGTTACAAAGCAGAGAACAGAGCTTAACTAAGGTCTTTCTGATAAATTGATCAAAACAGTTCACAACTGCAGACGGAACTTGGCAAATAGCTTTAGATCCTCCACAGTTAAAAAAGAAAATCTTCCTAAATTTCAGCACTTTCGAAAATGTTTAAGTCTTAAACATTAAGTTTTAAAGAAAGTCCTAATGTGATTGTTCTGAAAGTTTTAAAAATATTTAAAGTTTCATAACATTGTTTCAAGATTAATGAAATGTTTGGTATGATCCAAACATATTTTTAGTTTTGTTAATCTGTTAGTGTATTTTAGTTTTTGTTTTCATTTCAGATTGACCTACGCTACTACTACTACTAGTACTTACTATTATCATCACCATCCAGGTTTGGTAGTGAGGCAAAAGAACAAATTACATGCACTTCTGCAAAGTCAGGATATTGCCTTAATTTCCAATATGGAATAGATTGGGGCTTTCATCTTGCACCTGCCTTATTGCCTTTCTCCAAAGGAGTGCTAGTTTGCAAGGTTTTTGCATAATTTAAGGCTAAGTGGATGCATGCACTCAGCTCAGTGAGTATGGCACAGTGAAGCAATGTCAAGCCCAGGCAACAGAGACAAAGCTTTTGATGTCTTATACGGATTGAAGAGTTTCTGCTACCAGCAAGCTGCTAAGAAATACAGCTCCAGGTTTGTGGAGTGGGAAGTTATGCAGCATCTGAACATTTAGATGGATAACATCATGAGAATAGACCTTTTGGCTTTTGCATTTGTGATTTACTTTCTGTAAGGCTTAGATGGCCAGACCTTCTAACCAAGTTACTGAAAAGGCTCTACAAGTTTCCTCCCTGTGAGAAAAGAACAAGAACCTAACAGAAAAACCACCACAAACCAGCCTTCACCTAACCAAGTGCTAATTTCAGGCGAAGAGTCTTGCAGTCCTGTATAATGGAGTTGCAGACACCAAAACGTTGTAAAAAACATTCCTCAAAGTCCAAACAACCACAGAGATGTCATCCAGCAAAAACCTCATACAAAGCGCTTATGAAAATGTAAGAAGAAAAGCCCTGTCTGATGGTTTTTTGCTTTTTTTTCACCCATCACTGCTGTGAAACACATACATACAAAATTAGGCAGTGGAAGCAGAGAATACTAACTCGGCACTGTGTGTATGAGGACCCATCTTACTCTCAGTATCCATCTTACATAGCAGAATGGTATTTAACCACCCCAAAAAGGAATAGATTACTGTAGTTATGGTTAGAAATAGATACATCGAACAAACAAGGACTACTGGAGGAGAAAGCAACAACAGTAAAACAAGCATACCTGAGTACACCAGCATCAGTCATGCTCTGCAGAGCCATCAGATTAAGAGGCAGTGGAAACTGATACTCACAGAACTCCACCACCGGGTACTTAGTTTCCTTCAATGCTCCGTCAAAGCTGCTCTTTTTCAGCAAGAGTACATTGTTCTCTTTTTTTTGATTTGGGGAATTTGGCTTTCTTTGGCTTTGTTTCATTTGGGCTTATGCTGTCTGCTGCCAGGAAGCCTGTGAGAAACAATAATGGCAGCAAGAAAAACTGATGAGTCTTCATCTTGCCCTGCCTTTATCCAGTTACTGAGAAAGAGAGGAGCAAAGTAGCACTAAGCAGCAGGGTTTGCTGCTCAAGTGGCTGCTGTTGCATCAGCCAGACTAAGAGGCTTATAAGGTTGATAGTGGAGTCTGTCACCAGTGGAGCCAACTGCACCTTTCCACAGGAATATTAATGTCGTTAATTACTTCCCCATCTTTACCAGTGTTTGGGAAAAAAAGTGTCTGTGGGGAAGGTGAGTTTACTGTTTCTGTAAATAATCAGAACCCTGGGGAAAGGGTGAGAGAGCCAGGAGGAAACACTTGCCCACAGAAGCGCCAGTCGATTCATAGTGCACTTGTCTGAGTAGACAGCCTGCTCTTGTCACCATAACCCAGCACAGAGCTGCAGACAAAACAGCAAGTGAGGTACCTGGAAAGTATTTGAGGGCTGCTCCTCTGCTTAATATTTGGTTGTCTGTTGCACTTAGGGCTACTTGTTATGGATCTGATTCAGAGCATGTTGAAATCATGAAAAACTCTCATTGTTTTGCAAATGGGATTTTGACATCTGTGTTTCTTCAGTGCCTGGTCTGTAAGGCTCCCATCTCTGCTTAAGTGCCATGTTGTAGCTCAATTAATGTACTACTTTGCGGGTTAAACCAGAAGATTTTGCCATTGGTTTCAGTGGTAGCACAATTTTATGCAGCTAATAACTGTACAGTAAACTGAAGGGACCAAACGTACTATTTCATCCCTAGGATAGCTATCAACTGTGTCTGTGAACTATGAGGCCTCTCTAGCTAGTCTTTTCAGAACATCTTAAGAAATATCTTACAAAAAGATTAAGAAGGCACCATTTACTCAGAAATGGTTATTTCTGTGAATATCTTCCAGTCTGTAATTGTAGCAGAAATATCTTTCACCCTTAAACTGTACTGAAATTTGTGAACTGTAGACCCAAAGCTGTGGCCTCTCTGTGATATTCTGGTGGTTGTTCCATTGGCACAGGCAAGGACAGAGCTTACTGGAGGACGGGTGGGTCTGAGTTAGTAGGACCAAACTGATGGATGAAGAAATTGTCTCCAGTAATGCCTTTTCTTTCATCTTGAGGTGCAGTAAGTGCTGCTTTGCTCCTTAGACTAAAGCATGAAAAGTCTGGTATTGGGAGGGTATTGCTGAGAGGAAGGAGTGTTCGTAATGGTGGTTGATGTGGTAGCCTCCATTTTCTTGAAAGTGAAGGATCTTGGGTGGCAGAGCACTTCAATTTAGGTTTCTTTCACATCTGGTGTGAGTAGGGCTGGGTTTCAAGTGAACTCTTTCCTATCAATCTCAAAGGCTTTGGTTTGTAATGCACCTTGAGACGTGTTCTATTAGATAAGATCACACATAAATACAGATGCAGCAATCGCGTACTGAAGGAAAAAAAAGCAGAAAGATAAGAGTCTCCTGTTTGACTTTGTGGTCTTTTTCTCTTCGTAAAAGGCTCTTTTCCAAAGCTGTCTTTTAAGTGACATCCTAGGAGAGTAAAATGCATCTTTCAGAAGAACAGGGAAAAGCTAACAAGGCCTTTTTGATCTGAACAGGCTGTGTTGTGAGCTCAGAACACAGCCTAGAGCACAGGTAGGATGACAAAACCATTTGCGTAGAGAGCTGGTTTTCTCCTGTCTGGCACTGAAACAAATAGGAGTCAACTCAAATCCCTTCTGGAAACCTGCTCCCAGGGAACAGGCACCATTTTGGAAAGGGCTTCTAACAGCTATGTCCTGGAAGGGAACTGGAGTAAGAGGAGGATCATACAGCAGTGAGTCCTGCCAGGACAGATTTGCAATGAGGAAAGGAGTGGGATTGAGCAAAACTGAACAGAAAATGGAAACTGGTAGAGTACAATGTTTTCTCTTAGACATACAGCAGATTAGGCCACATTTATGCACATTTCTTCATCAGTGCTAACTAGTTCTGGCTCTTTCATTTTGGGCTTTACAGTTTGAGAGCTATGGAAAAGCTGCCTTCTGCAGAAGTCCCAGGCCAGTCAGCAGAAAACACTGGATGCAGGTTAAATACAATTCTTGGGCCTTCTGCTTTGTTACCACTCACACCCTGGAAATTGTTATGTGGTTGAGAGCCATTGACACATGCCTCACATGTGAGCACCTTCTGTTTGCATTTCTCTGTTTTGCCTCATAAATACAGTGGTTTTAGAGTGATGTCAGTTGCTGTTATTTACTGGCATTGAACACTGTAAGCTGTCGCTACACCTACACTTGCAATACGTAATGCAAAGATGAAAGTAACTGTGTAGTATGCCTGCGAGATAGGTACATAGTGCTGGCTGTTAAAACAAGGAGAAGGTTGTCACACAGAAAGATTTGAAAGCAAAACTGGCGCAATTGAATTGAGAGAAAGATTCCCTTAGATTTAATGTGGTGGGTAGATTCTTAAGGACTTCATTATACTCAAAACAAGTCTATCAGAAGATTCTGCATCTATAGGTAAAGACCCAGTTTTTTGACTTCCAAGACTGGGCTTTAAATAACTGCAGTATCATCATCATCATTCTGTCTCTTCCACGTCTGCCTGTATGTTGCATAGGAAAGATTAGAAGAAACTGGAAGTGCTGGAATTTTCTTTGCAAGTTCGTTTTGCAACCGGTATCTTTTTCAAAGTTGCCGACTCATAGGATCATAGAATGCTTTGGGTTGGAAGGGATGTTTAGAGGTCATCTAGCCCAACTTCCCTGCAGTGAGCAGGGACATCTTCAGTGAGACCAGGGTGCTTGGAGCCCTGTCCAACCTGATGTTGAATGTTTCCAGCAATGGGGCATCGACCACCTCTCTGGGCAACCCATTACAGTGTTTCACCACCCTCATTGTAAAAAATGTCGTCCTTATATCCAGTCTAAACCTACTCTCCCTTAATTTAAAGCCATTACTCCTTGTCCTATCACAGCAGGCCTTGCTAAAAAAATTGTCCCCATCTTTCCCATAGGCCCCTTCAGGTACTGGAAGGCTGCTATAAGGTGTCCCCTCAGCCTTCTCTTCTCCAGGCTGAACAGCCCCAACTCTCTCAGCCTTTCTTCATAGGAGAGGTGCTCCAGCCCTCGGAGTATTTTTGTTGCCCTCCTCTGGCCCCGCTCCAACAGGTCCATGTCCTTCTTGTGCTGAGGGCTCCAGAGCTGGATGTAGTACTCCATGTGAGGTCTCACCAGAGTAGAGTAGAGGGGCAGAATCCCCTCCCTCGACCTGCTGGCCATGCTTCTTTTGATGCAGTCCAGGATACGGTTGGCCTTCTAGGCTGCAAGTGTTAGCTGATGTCCAGCTTTTTGTCCATCAGTATGCCCAAGTCCTTCTCAGCAGGGCTGCTTTCAATCCCTTCGTCCCCCAGCCTGTATTGATACCGAGGATTGCCCTGACCCAGGTGCAGGACCTTGCACTTGGTCTTGTTGAACCTTATGAGGTTCACACAGGCCCACCTCCCCAGCTTGTTCAGGTCTCTTTGGATGACATCCCATCCTTCTGGCATGTCTGCTGCACCACTCAGCTTGGTATCATCTGCAAACTTGCTGAGGGTGCACTTGGTCTCACTGTCTGTGCCATTGTTGAAAATATTGAACAGCACTGGTCCGGGTAGGGACCCCTGAGGGACACCACGTGTCACTAATCTCCATATGGACATCAAGCCATTGACCACTGCCCTCTGGATGCAACTATCCAACCAATTCCTTATCCACCCATCAAATCCGTATCTCCCCAATTCAGAGAGAAGGATGTTATGGAGGACTGTGTCGAAGGCTTTACAGAAGTCCGGGTAGATGACATCTGTCGCTTTTCCCTCATCCACTGATGCAGTCACTCCATCATAGAGAGCCGCTAGGTTGGTCAGGCCGGACTCGCCCTTGGTGAAGCCATGCTTGCTGTCTCGAATCACCTCCCTGTCCACCATGTGCCTTAGCATAGCTTTCAGGAGGACCTGTTCCATGAGGTTCCCAGGCACAGAGGGGACGCTGACAGGTCCGTAGTTCCCAGGGTCCTCCCTTCTACCCTTTTTAAAAATGGGCACCATGTTTCCCTTCTTGCAGTCACCAGGGACTTCACCTGACTGCCATGACCTTTCCGATATCGTGGAGAGTGGCTTGGCAACGGTATCAGCCAATTCCCTCAGGACTCTGGGGTGCATCTCATCAGGTCCCATATATTTATGTATGATCAGGTTCCTCAGGTGGTCAACTGAAGTGCAAAGCCAGTGGAAGTCTTTGGCTTGTCACCTTTGCTTGCCTAGTGTTTAGTTTGTCTTTATTCCATGCTCCCAGTGAAAACAGAACTCACAATGAAGTAAATCAGATTCATGAGTTTTGTCGGTGCATAAATTCAGTGTGACTCGCCCTCTAGTGTGTATTTAAGATACAGCGTAATTACAGAGGCTGTTTTAAACAAAGGGGATAAACAAGTGTCCTCAAAACACTTTCTAACTAGTGGCATTTTATTTCTGTAAGCAGGCAAAGTAAAATACAAGATTTACAGCAATCAAGAGATAAATATTTATAAAAAGACTGGCAAGTGGAAGTTTAGAGATGAGATCCAAGGTTCATTCATCAGCTAACAAAGTAGAGGACAAAGATAATAATAAAAAACCAGTGCACAATCTCTTTGCCAGAAAACGAGGAAAACTTACTTAAAGAATCACATAAAATAATGAGGGAAAATGGGGAGGAACACAAACAACCTATTTATTCATGCTGGTTTCTATTAATTTGTACAACATTGCAAACTAGACAGAATCCAATACCTGGCTGTTTTTAAATGTATTTTCTTTCATTTCAGATGACTGGTTCCTGTAGGTGTGCATCTGATTTTTTCTCCACTGTCTGATAAAACATCATTTATCATGAGAACATTTATTAAATCATGGATTCCTCAGTGTTTACGGATTCTCAGGTCACCTTGCAGATTATTCCATGGATGCAGCAGGCTTCTTACATCTCAGATTATTTCGTATTATGACTCTGTCAACCAGTGTAAAAAGGAA